CAAAGTGTCATGGAAGAACCACACCAAAGGTCGTGCGTGGTCCATGGGCCCACATCGAAGCGAAACTGGAAGGAGCGGCGATTCTGTCTATTACCGGCTGGAATGCAAAAAAATACCCGTCTTGGTAGACCTAAAAAGGGAATTCTGGTGCCAAGCAGGACACGGTCTCAATAGCAACGCAAACTATGCTGGATTTCAACACCTTTAAATTGAGATACCTTAATGTTATTGAGATGTATCAAAATAATAAAAATGTCATTAGATAGAGTAGATTCTTCTCTTTATTCCTATGTCTTTAAATAATGGATGCAGCGTGAAATGAGGTAGAAGTCCGCGTTACAATGCGATTTTCATTATGCGACCGTAATTGATATGATCTTCGATCTCTCCTATTTCCAACCTCGGAATATCATTACAATCAATACCGCTCTCCAACCATTGCGTGCATCAAAATGCAACCAGGTGCAAAATGTTCGCCTTGAAAATCTGATCATTTTGGTACTTTGAACGATTGATGCCGTGCAGTAGTCGTTGAGAAATGGGGCTTTTTGGTAGTTTTGGTCATTTATCATTCAAATGCGACCGTCGAAATGACCAAGTCCCCAAAAATGACCAAGTCCCTCAATGACCAAATCCCCAAAAATGACCAAGTCCTTTAATGACTAAATCCCCTAACCCTAAAAATGACTAAGACCCCAAAATGACCAAGTCTTTCAATGATGACGATTGAAAGCGATGAGAGCATTGGGAGACATTGAGAGTAATGAGCTTCCGTGAGGCCGGCGGCTTAGGCTGTACGGAAACGGACCACGGTGGCCCGGAAAAGTGGGTCTTCCCGGAGATGTGGATTCGTGGGCGCTTCACTGTCTCACCTGGGATTTGGCTCCGCCTAGGAGAAGACTATTTTATACTTAATATCTTTATTACTAAGGTTGCCCTTTATTTTAATATAGCTTATTATAATATTACTATTTATATTTTTAAAGTATTTAGGGGTAGGGGTAAGGTCGCGCTAAGAAAGAGAATTTTAGCGATAACTACTATATCCTTTACTATTACCCCTAATATTATAGAAGGCCTTACTAGCCTCAAACTTCTATATAATATCTTTTAACTATTTAATATAGAAGTCGTAAATTTCGGGTATATAGATTAAAATTAATTAATCGTAAAAAGCGTTAAATATAGAAGTTCCTAACTAGATTAATTTAGAATTATTTTCCTAAATAAAGCCTCTAATTTTTATAAAATTCTCTTTAAACGTAGGGAGCTAATCTCATAAGGATTAATTCTCTCTCTATCGTATAGTACGTAAGCGGGTCAAAGCTAATCTTTTCTCACTCTTATTACCGAAAATTAACTTGAAGTAATCGAAGAAATCCTCAGGTGTATATATACCATTAATACCGCTACAACGCTAAAAGGCTTCTACCTTAATTATTTTATTAAGTGGGAAAGCGTTTAATAATACTAATTAGCTTAATTTATTACTAATGATAACTCCTACTGACTTCTCTTCTTTATATATAAAGCCTAGTCTAATAATATAGAAATTAAATATAGAAGGGGTTCCATCCTATTTTAACTAGGGGATATTTTTACGTTTAAAATTATAATAGGGAGCGGCTTCTTATATAGTACCGACTATAGCGCTCAGAATAATAGTAGTTATCGTGGTAGTTATATTAACGTTAAAAGGGTTGTATTAGTTTTAAGTAACAAATTATATTAAGCGCTATTCTTACTATTTGGGCGAATATATCGCTAGTGAATAACGTTCTAACGAAGTCTTCTTTCTCTTGTACGAAACGTATAGCTTCTCTCCTTGTAGCTTCTTTTTATTTCATAGTTATAACGGTTATAGCGGCGGAAAATTCTATAGGAATTCCAGCTACGGCCATTTAAGTAAGTAAACCCTACTACTATTTTTATAGCGGCTACTTATCTTATTCTATTGAATCTATTATAATAGAACTTAGTATAACGGGGATAGTACAATTAATATAGGTATTGGTTATATAGTTTAATTAAGGTTCTATAAAGAAGGAAAATTCTATTTAAAAGGCGGCTCTACCGGAGATGCGAAGTTTTGATAGGGGTTGTACAGACACAGCCACGGCGCCTTATGACAGCTCTGGTTGATGACCAGAGCGCCACAGCCCGGGCCTTAGCCTCATGACATCTAAGCTTTACTTAAATAAGGAGACGGAAGAGGAGAGAGAAGAAATAGTAGTAAAGGCTCTAATCTAGGGAGCAATACTAGTTATACAAAATGAAATCAATCCATCTCGATCCGGTAGGGGCTTAAATAGTTACAATAGCGATAGCTAAGGAGAGGAGCTCTCAAACTAAGCAATTGTTTTATCGATAAATAAGAACGCCCTAATAATATTAGGGGTAAAGGAGCGCTACTATATCCGTACAGGAGGGACTTCTAATTAGCTTACTAAACATACTATTTACTAGCCAAATAAGTAATAAAATTACCGTATAATAATACCCTTTGCCGCCTAACTACACTATTTAATAGTATTTATTACAAAACCCAACTGTAGGAGGGTAATAAACGTAATATTTCGTACGCATAAGGATTTACTGAGGTTATTCCCTAGCGAGGGAATTATAATCATAGTTTATAGCCACTGCGTTTTAGAGAACGCGGTGGTTGACAACTACTATTAATAGGAGAAATAGAACGATACAAAGCACTAGGTAATTACCTTAATACTAACTACTACGCAATATAGATTTATCTTAGTAGAAGAGGGCCCCGGATGGGCAAGGTATAAATGTATTCCCTAATTTAGTTTTAGTTCCCGTATATTAGGAGTAGCTCGATGAAGGTAAGTATTTACGACGTTTAGAATATTACCGATTCGGGTAGGAAGTAAGTAGTTGTATAGTGTTTATTTGGGGGTTTAGTATAGATACTTTTCTTAGTATTATTAATTTCTTCTCCGTTTAAATAAGTATTTAGTTAGGAGCGGTTATTAATAGATTTCGTTATTTTTATATAATTAGCTACTTAATACTTTATACGGTAGACTATACTCCTAAGAGGGGTGGACCGAGTTCCCTAAGGGGGAGTAGGGGGGTAATATTATAGGGTTAGAACCTAAGGGTTAAGCTTGGCTATTGCCAAGCCGTATCCTACAGCCTGCCAGCCCGATAAGCCGATAAGCTGCGATACGAGCCTTCTAGTTGGCCAAACCCGCATAACTGCCTAGCCCGTACAGTCTTGGCACTGGTTGCACAAAACCTTCTTTCGACTGCACCCTTCTGGTGCAGTCTTTCCTCTCTTTCTTTCCTTGTCAAATATAGTATTTTAACCATATACGACTGCTCGCTGTGCCTTACTCTTGCAGACCCAACACATCTACCAATCTACTACCTATCCACACATTCTACATACCATTCTCCACCATTTTCATCAACGTCCAAAGCGAGGGCGATATTTACTTTATTATTCATCCTCTTTCTGACTTTAATACTATTCTAACCTTCGTCGATCGATACCTTCCGACAAGGGTCCTTTTAAATAACTGTAAAAACTTCGGGGTTAGAAAGTAGTACTTTTCTAAAAATAGTCGCAATAACGTAAAGAACTTTACAATTAATCGTATAGACCCTAGAATTATTTCCCAACATATTTCCACTTCCCGTACTTAATCCTTTACTAATATTATTACCCTCTCTACTATTATTAATAGGGTTAATTATATTATTATTAATTCGTTTTATTTAATTAAATTCTTTTTATATTTTCGAAAAGACTAATTATATCGATTTAATAATATGTAGTATCTATTTAAATTCGTTCTCGAAAATTATATCCTTTTTCTTTTCTATTTAGAACTACTCTAAGAATTCCTTAAACTAATTAAAAATATTATTGGTATAGTAATCGAATATTTAGATTACCCGTACAATAGGGTTAATAATAGTACAAAAAACGTCTATATTAATAAAATTAATAATTATAATAAAAGAACTTCTAATAATTTCCAAGAATATAGAATTATTTTCCTTAATAATTCTAATAAAGTTTTTAATAATAGGAATTGCGGGGATATTATTTAAAGTTATAAAATAAATTTCTTTATTTATTAAGGGTAGATTAGAACCCTTTAATTCGTTAGAAATCTTTAATTTAATATTTTAAAGAGCGTTTAAAATATTAACGTCCTCCTAAATATATATTAGTAATAATTATTATTTTTCTAATAAAATATTTACGTTGGTAATAATAATATTACCATCGAAAATAATAGACTCTTCCTACTACGGGATTTTTTTTAGCGATTAACGGCGTTATAATTATTCTATTAAATAATGTACTTCTTCTTTATAATATACGTTCGCAACGTAATAGTAGGTACAAATACTTATTATAGGGCAAAGCGATATTGAACGTTAGGGGTAAATTAAAATTTATATATTTATATAAGGAGGAAAGGAAGTTATAGAATATATATATAGCTCGTAAGGGATAAACCCAGCGGTAAGCCCATAGTACGTATACGTAATTAACCCACTTGCCGCCTCGGTACCGAAGCGGCAAAGTATTGGCTGTAGTAATGCAGCCAATTAAAGAGCGTACATTAACCCGGCAACTATTACCGTAGTAATACCGCGACCAGATAACAGTCACAGGCTAGCCCTGTGACATATATCTGGTTTTGAAGTATAGGAGGAAGGTGTTGAGTATACTCAACATCGTAGCATACACTAGTAGCAATGTCAAGCGTTATTCCGCTACATAGGAAGGCCATTGGGAGGAACCACCAGTTGTGTTTTGTGAGATGCATCGTAGTATCCGCGCAATTATGTGGCTAGATGGGTTTCTCGCCTCGTATGATCTCGGATATTCTAGAGAGACTTACATCATCAGGAAACGCGGTACCCTCCAGCAATCAACGAGGTAATATAAGTTCATTTTAATGGTAAGCAGACGCCAAGCGCAGCGAGAAAGGCCGTATAAGGTCATCATAAGCAACGAAACGGTGCGAGTTGACAGTGAAGTGTAGGTTGAAGGCGTATAACGGAGTAACTGGTGTTCACAATAAACTGCGTAGACCCACGGAGTAACATACCCGTGTCTGGAGATACTATGTGCACGAGGAGCAGTGAGCATGATAGCATATCTGAGAATATCGGGCAAGACGGCAAATTTCATGGAACAAGTTGACCTGCTAAAGTTTGCTTAGATGGGTGTCTACCATGATGCGCTGGAGCCCATCGCGAACATGCTGGCGTATGCCATGGACACTCGGCCTGCCGGTGTCTCGATCGACCCAGACCTGAACGAACTCGCCGACTGACTTAACCTGGTCGACGCCCTTCTCAAAGAGGGCAATCTCATAGGTGACACTGGAGTTGCCAATCTTGTTAACGCGCAGGCCAAGCTCAGCGCAGGCGGGAAACGAAATGGAGGCGAAGTAATCGTTGTGACTGTGGACTACCATGCCATACTGGGGGGACGAATCTGGCTTGAGACCACAGAATTCGAAGAGATAGCTGTTGATGACGGAATCATAAAGGATATTGTAAATGGAATTATTCATATGTTGGTACATGTCGTTGTCACTCCTGTGCCAATAGGTTAGCACTGGATCGGGGCTTTGCATAGGACAGCAGCAACTTACCATCGCGTGCGATATTCGAGAAAGTAGGGGTAATCAGCCCTTGTACGGCTTTTCAACTGGTCGTAAGCGCCCATGGCGTGACTGTAGCTTGCTTGGATGCTGGCAGCGGACTTCGAATGGACCGGATGTGAGTAAGGGATGAGGCTGAGGAGTGAAGGTGATGGATGAAGTGGTGGTTTAAGAAGCTCAAGTGAGGACGGAGGCGGATAGCTTCACTACCCCAGACTATGTGTTACCGAGGCTCCTACATAGTACACTCTCGGCTGTAGATCCCGATGCACCCATACTCGAATTGGAAATGCGACGATGGCTAGGCGTGCCAGGTAGTCCAACGTCAACAACAACTTAACACGTGGGCGGCGTTAGGATGAGACAGACAGTGCGTATGCCTAGTAGACCAGTAGGTATGCACGGTACGTATATGTAATGTACGTAACATGACCGTACCATTACATTACGTATCTACTTTTAGATACCCCGTAGCGTAGTAGTGGCGCCAACCGCTGTCTTGTACGTATGTGGTAAGGCGTATAGCGGGTAAGTACGGCATTAGGGATGTGGCACGTCAAGCGGGTGCGTTGCATATATGTGCTAACACTGTCAGGCAGGCTATTGCGCCAGATGGGGTAACGCTACCTGTGCGGTGCGATACCGGTACTGCAAGCATGTCCATCCGTCTGAAATTTGTCTGGGGTCCGTCCCATGTGCTCGGCCAGACTACCTACAAACACAACACAACACAACACACCATCACGTCTTGTTCACTTCGTTCCGATTGGAGCTCCGGCCCTCCATCCTCCCTCTACTGTTTTGTCTGACGACAACCAAGCAAGCCATCGCCAACCTGGCTTCCTGTCGCTCCACCGCTGCTGCACTGCTCGCGTCATTTGCACCATTAGCATCGCTGACACGGTTGCTCCCAGGCACGAGACGAAAGATGGCGGCCACAGTCGCGACAAGCCTCGTCACGGACAACGAAACACCGCCCCTTACCCCCGACCCCACGCCAGCTGTTGGAGTGACGGATGCGGCGACCATTTCCCCGGCCGCTGAACCTCCCGCTGTCGCGATCACTCCCTCTGATCCCTGGCCCCGGCCCTACTATATCGAAGATGGCCTTCGCCGCGTCGTGCCGTACCATTACACCTACAACACGTGGTGCAAGGAGCGTTGGCGCGGTCGCAAGCTGATGGAAATATTCGAGGTCGAATTCCGGGACCGGCCGGCCGAGTATTACCGTAACGCCGTTGAGACCGGCCTGGTTGTCGTCAATGGCAAGGCTGTCGGTCCCGAATATGTCCTCAAGAATGGTGACCTCATCTCCCACACCACTCACCGTCACGAGCCTCCCATCACAGCCGAGCCCATTCGCGTGATTCACGAAGACAATGACCTGATTGTCATCAACAAGCCGTCCGGTGTCCCCGTCCACCCCGCTGGCCGCTACAACTACAATTCTGTCGTTGAGATTATCAAGTCCGAGAGGGGACCTGATTTCCTACCCCGTCCCTGCAACAGGCTTGACCGGCTCACCAGCGGTATCATGTTTCTTGCCAAGAACCAGCGTGCGGCCGAACGTCTCGTTGCTCAAATCTCTCAGCGCAGTGTCCGCAAGGAGTACATCGCCAGGGTTGTTGGCAGGTTTCCCGATGGCGAAGTGGTTTGCGATCAACCCATCCTTCAGATTTCCCCCAAACTAACCCTCAACCGTGTGCGCGCCAACGGCAAGGCGGCACGTACCGTTTTCAAGCGCCTGGCCTATTATCCTCCCGTTGACCCGCCTGCCAAGGGTCAGACCGAACAACCGGCTATGCCGGACGCAGAGCAAACGGCGCAGAGGAGGGGTGAAGGAGAAGGATATTCCATTGTCCGCTGCCTTCCTGTTACCGGAAGGACTCATCAAATCCGGGTTCATCTCCAATTCTTAGGTCACCCCATCCAGAACGACCCGATCTATGCCAATCAAAAGGTCTGGGGGTTTGATCTCGGCCGTAACGATGCCGACGCAGCTCGGAACAGTGACGAGGATGTCATTTCCCGTCTCTCCCGGATGGGCAAGGAAGACGTTGCTGATGCGGTTGCATATTATGACGAGATGGTGGACAACTACCATAAGAAGAAGGCCGAAAAGATGTCTGGTCAAGTCTGTGACGTCTGCCAGACACCGCTCTATACGGACCCTGGTGAGCAAGAGCTTTCGCTCTGGCTTCACAGTCTCAGATACGAGGATGCTGATGGAGCATGGAGCTATGTGAGCCCCTTACCCGCCTGGGCGTTACCTCCGAGTGGCATGACAGGACCGACACAGGTAGGCGGAATGGAGGATCTTGTAAGCGCTGTCGAGGCAAGCTCAACATAAAGAGGAAAACCCGCGGAGGATGTTGATGACCCGGACACTGTGCCCATGACTCGTCCTCCGGGACAGTTACCTTTGGTTGCGCTCTTGAAGAGATAGTTCAGGCAAACTGCCAAGTCGTGGCTTGAGAGAGTCGTTGGCTAACTCACTGTGAGGTTGTGCCTCGTCTGGGACTCTGGGTAAGAACCAACAAGTTACACGAGCACTGAAGACGATCTATTGCAGATTATCACCATCATCTTTCCACCGTGATCTCCATGCTGGTGGAGACTACGAGGTCAAGGAATGGTTTCAGAAGGTATGCTTGATGTGCGCGGGGACCCCAGATGCCGTTCACACCTGTCTTCCACTACCGGTGATCTTCGCATGGTCCTAACCGCGTGTGGCAGATCAATGATATAGCAACGTGTGGGGTCGATCCAGGTGCGCCTAATCGGTGCCTGTTTGTTCTGTGCTTGCAACTGGGCGCATACCGCTTTTTCTCACTCGATACGGTTTCACTCAAACCAATCCTATTACTGGATCGTTCCCAGGAAACCCTGCGACCCGCATCAACTCACCAGAAGATTGGTCGAAGCCAGATATAACCGGCGCTATACCTAGTTGAGCTCGGTTGAGTGAAACCGTATCGAGTGAGAAAAAGCGGTACACTACGTAGGTTAGTAGGTCTCAACTACATACTCTCACCGCGCGCAAACTCTTCTCAACACGCTACCATGTCGTTTTCTGAAGCCATATTGCTGTCCCACGCCCACTCGCCTCCGATCAGACATGCTCAACTGCCTCAGCTAGTGGCTCCCGAGTCTCGAAACGTATCCCATCGGATGACGGACAGGATGGAGGCGTGGCCCCCTTTCCCACTCCTTGCCCGCATTCGCCGCTTTTAGGAGATATCGGCTCGGGCTTCGGTCTTTGGGTGGTCCATGCTAGTCTGGTCCTTCACGCACTAACGTATAAGGGACGCAGGGTTTGAGCGAGTTCCCAAGTGGAGAACACTTTCAAGGCACTGTGTTTCAAGCCTCCACCATAGTCCTAGCTGCAGACGCCTGTTGTGGTCCTAGACCTCTGATGCACGTAGCGTGCCAAGCGTGCGTTCGAATGTGACGGTGGCAGACATTCCACAACCATCTTATGTTCTGGAATGCAGTATGTCTATCACCCAGAGGCGCAAGGTGGGAGCTACAACCACATCAAAGTATTTGGATTCGTGTCACCGCTCGTGTGGTCTTTTTTTTCCCCTGATGTCTTTGGTTGATTCGAGGGAGCATCAGATTGCTGGCCGTTCTTTCTGGTGTTGTGCCATGCTACCGTTTGGAGACTGCCTCAACGACGTAGCCGTACTGTCAGACCGTCAAGCTTGCTAGTGTTAAGTTTGTCTAGTGCACGCGGTATAGATTTTGAAGATATTCCGAGCTACGCGCACAGCACTTGGATTTTCAAGACGTTGTCACCAGACACTAGGTCGGTACTGGGGTGTGCTACAGTATGCAAGGCTCTTGGCCCAACATTGCGCTCCAGCATAGCGTGAAAGTCTAAAATTTGGGCCTCAAGTGGACCCGTCAGTCAAAAGGTACATATCCTCGTAACTCGAAGGCCACAAGGGCTTGGCAAAGGTAAACTTTTATGCTGTTCGCAGTATGTGAAGTTACCAATATCTAAAATCCTCGTTCCTTCACTCGTCCCACAATCCCCACTTGGTGACAAGCCGCCCACAATTACAGCAAAGCAAACATCACAAACTGAAAGGGGGAAGTACACTACACAGTAAGTTCTGACCTTCACTATCCCGGCCTGCTGAACGCAAACCAATGGTCTACCGGCCGGCACTCATTGCAGGGGGTGTACCGTGGTCTCTAACCAAACAAGGGTTAGCGCCGGAGCCTCAACGTATCAACTGCATTTGCAAAGGGCGGTTGTTAGATGGCAGTATATAAGGGTTTTATATAAGAGACGAAAGAGTTGGAAGGCACTTGGGGTCATCCATTCTCTCTGCCGCGTGCCTGTCTGGGCAGAGGCCGCTCAGGCCCGGGAGAGGAGGACTGGCGGAGGAATGACCGGCCCAGAGCCTCGCCCCTGTCAGCTCGTCCGTGGCCCGGATTCCAATGTCTAGTCCCCAAGTCTCCGAAAACCGACTGGAAGGGGAAAGTGGAAGCAAAGGCCCAAGGCATCTGGCGCACAGACTGTGGCTTCTAGTCCATACTCCCATGATCCCGATCTTTCAAGACACCTTGACCACCTTCCCCACCTTTGGAAGGGCACCTCTCAAGAGTGGAAGTGTGTACATTGTAGACCCAGCAAGACCAGGGGTTCCTTCCTATTCACCCTTGTCTCTTTGGCGGAGCCCATCTCAGATCACAGCCTGGACTACGCTTCAACGCCGTGCTGTATTGTTAATAAGTGGGCATCCCGCGAGAATCTTCCCTTGGTCCCATCCGTCCACTTGCTCCGGCTTTATCTAGCAACGAACCGTATATATTTCCTTTCATCATTCTCATCTCGAGCAAGGCAGAACTACCAAGAACAACCATTCAGCCTTCAAGACAACATCGATATAGACATACACACAAACGTCTAGTACAGTCACGCATATCGACACAACAACCACCAACTCAAGATGGCTCGGTCTCCTCCTGCCGCCACTACCGGGGAAAACAAGCCGGCTACGGTGAAGAGGAAAGGTGAGTGCTGAATACCATCTTCTCCTGGCAAATCCACCGTGAAGCATTCTGACACTTAGCTTTGTTTGCGGACACAGGCACGAGAAGCGTCTCTACCCTCACGCCTTCACAGCTAGCTAGGAAGCGAGCAAATGATCGGGAAGCGCAACGCGCAATAAGAGCTCGCACCAAGGAGCTCATTGAAAGGCTACAGCGCGAATTGGAAGAATCGAGGGGAAGGGAGAACCGCGATGGAATGGTTCGTGAACTGCTACAGAAGAACAAGGCATTGGAGCACGAAGTGCGAACATTAAGGGAAGCCCTTGGCATCGGGAACCGTCCGTTTCCTCAATCTGGTAAGCCAATTTTCTCTTTTTTTGGACTCATGCGGTCATTCCTATGGTTTCGATCTCGTTCCAAAGGCTAACCCATTGTGACTAAAGGCTACGAGGTGGATGGACTGCAAACTTCGCCATCAGCAGTTCCAGGCCGCGGGGCATCCTTCCCCCAAGGCTCCACGGACTATGGTGCACCGACAAGCTTCGGGTCATCTTACCTCCCTACTCCTGAACCTTGTGAGACATGGCCTCCGGTGGTCCCCGTCTCTTCGGTAACTGTTTCTTCAGTGGTCTCAAGTCCGTCTTCATCCACGGGGCATCCTGACGAGTACGTGGCTAGCCACGTCCCCACAAGCGTTCCTCCTTCATTGATGGACTCCTCTGTAATGAGCCAAGCTACGGGAATCTCTTGCCTGGACGGCATGAAGGTCAACTACGAGGACATTGAAACTGGTGAGTAGCCCTCGTGGTTTTTGGTCGATGTCTTATGTGCGCGTGTTTACTGACACGGCTTAGACCGCGGATACTGCCCGACCAGCGTTCCACAGCCGCAATCCTCGTATCTCCCCCAGCAGTCCTGGTCTATGTACCCGACACCAACCTACTATCCACAATCGCCTACGGTTTGATGCCATATCGGTACAAATGTTCGTTTTTGAGGGCAATCAGCCTGTCGCGGACAATCACAGTGTTGCGGACGGGCAGCCTACGAGACAACAGCTACAACAACACCAACTCTCTGGACAACAATTACAGATACAGACGACGACCATCAACGTCGATAAAGGCCAAAGACGCGCAATGTTCATTTGAAACACACAGATCTCGATGCGTTTACGCCACATATCAGCTACACAGCAAGCGGCTTGTTGTTTTTTCTCATAACTCTGGAGCATTTCACCTTGTTTCTCATCCTTTTCTCTCCAACAGAGGACCACGGAGAAAAGATGATGTATTTCTGCGGACGGCACAGGGGGTTCTTATACTTGATCTTATTTTTCTACGGGTTATTCGGTTTGTATCCCTACCTGTTTCACTTGCTCAAAAAGGGGGCAGATGGGATGGGTCAACACTATGAGGGAGGGGCAAGCACCCCTTCCACCTTTACACTGGCTGGCGGGAGTAACGGTTCACGAAAACGCATCACTTGGCGCATCATGTTGGTCTTTTTTCTTTTTCTTTTGGTGGGCGGACATATAAAGCGAATTATAGAGGGACGGCAATGGCATGATCGGCTGGTGGGGTACGTATACCCTCTTGGATGGAGTTCGGTCGGAATATGGTTTTTTTATTCGGCGTCTATGGCGTTTTCATGGTTAGACTCTGTGTAGAAAAAGGCCGCTTTCCCTTTGTGTACATAGTATGCAGGATGTTTTATGATACTCGAATGACTACGAAGCTATTGGATTGTCAGTGTCAAAGAGATCTCCCTCGCCGTTTTGTAAGTAGCAATAACTGAGGAAAAGGGAACATGTTTCGTGGTTACGGAACAGGAGACTTGAGGTCTGGAGCACATCACCACGCAAGTACAGAAGCACCATGCCACTTAGAAGCCCTACCATTGCGGTTTTGGTGTGGGCGGAGACGTGGATGGGCCTTCGGTCTGAAGCTCAGGAGCTCCAACAGTCTCTGACCGCACTGACCGCACTTGGCCGGCGCCGTCGGATACGTCATGTGTTAGGCTCTCCTTCCTCGGAGTAAGTACCTCTACCTAGCATGACCCCGAAGTTGTTTTCAGGTAGTGTAAACTATAGCGAGGTACGAGGGCGTCAAGGTACGGGGAGTGGATGATCAAGCAAGGGTCCCTGGTCCTATTTTTAGCGCTGGATTTGGACAAGCAGCACAAGGGCGAGAGATTCACAAACTTCTGTAGAAACTGCTGCACGCAATTGGCCAATGGGTTCCAGCATGGAAGGCGCACAGAAAAGGTAAAGAGCAAAAAAAAGGGCAGATGGAATCATTAGCGGAACTCTTTCCTTCAAGGAGCGACCGCTTTCAGATATCCACAAGGTATAGTGGGTCGTGGTGAGTGGTTTTCTCCTTTCTTTGCGTCCCCATTCGGCACCAAGGCCAGCGGAGCTCGGGGCCCCAGAGAACTGGCGAGGCTCAATAAAGGGAGGCCCATGTTAGCAAAGAGTGGCATTGAGTGCGAATACTCAAGAACTGCAAGCACAGTAGCGCGTACGTAGGCTGGCAAAGTAGTCAAATCCAAAGGGGTGCCGAAAGGGCACTTCGGGCTCGGAGTTGACCGGGCTGTTGCCCACTCGGGCATGAAATGCTGTGGGTAGTGCCGAGCGCGACTGGCTCTAGCTCACGTCGCCGAGGTATGCCTGAGCCAAGAGGATACCAGACACATGGTGAATCTGGCGATGTTTGGCTGGGGTTTGTTGTTGAGAGGACCACAAACTGCATGACGATTCCAACTTGGAGACCACGCACGGATCCATAGAGGTACAGCGAGAGTGTGCCCATGCCAGGTACACTTACACCAGAGAGCCAGAATCAGTGCTCGGACTTGTATGTGCACAGTCGAGACCATCCAGCCCTGCTGGAGGAAGCTAGTATCCAAGGGGAAAGGACAAGACGGGTGGTGCGTAGGCGCCTTTGGCCTTGTAGACCTTGAAATGGAATCAGTCCAAAGGTTTCGACGGGCGAGTTCGAGAACCCAAGGAATGCACGTACCGTGTTACATGTGTATCAGATGGCAAATTGGCGCTCTATGACTGGCCAACGCACCAGAGAGGGTGCTGGGGCCAATGGAGCCGGCAAATGGCCAGCTCGTGGGGAACCCCTGGAAGGCCTTGATGCATAACTCTTTTACTAACTAGGGAGACTAGGTAAAGGCAGGCATGCTGGCCCTGTTGCTTCCCAGAGCCTCACTAGAACGGGCTTGTACCTGCCGGGAAGATATCAAAGCGAGGACGTAGAGACAGATAGACTACATACCTTAGCTAAAAGCTGTCAACGTTGAACACCACCACCACCGCCACGCTGAGAGTCCTGGGTTCATGCTCGTGAATAGCGTCAGACGAGCCATTTTAAAACAAGTTCGTCTCAGAAACGGGCCACGTGTGGCTCATGGCGGCTGGCCCATCAAATTTAGAGAACAACACTTTGAGCAACTACACGTAGGAGAGTGCCAAACCTTTGAGGACGAACTGGGCGATTACCCTGACAATGCTTGATCAGCAAATACCATTATTACACTAGTGCCTGTCCACACCCCCACAATCACGGAGAACATTTTTTTTTCTTGGTAATTTCCTGGAATGCATTGACCGGACAAATGGGAGAGGTGTTGAGGTTGGAATATGAGATTTTGATATACACGTATGTACAATCTTCTGAGAGGCCATAGCGGTTGATGGGATTGGGCGACGTACGCACAGTAATGGATACCTGCTCATGTTCTATGCCCACAGCCCCCATCCCGGTTTCTCCGCGTCTACCCCGACCTCTCACGCACCGAGGCGAGGACGGGGAGGACGGGGAGAACGGGGGGGACGGGGGGACTGGGAGTACGGGGAGTACGGGGATGAGACGGAGACGGAGACGGAGACGGAGAGGGCACATGGGGGAGGCGGCCTCCTGGGTGTGGTGTGGTTCATGTGGTCTCGGAGGCATCAAGGTACAGGAGACGGACGACCGACGCAGGGGACGTGAAAAAGGCGGCAGACAGATGGTGGGCGGTGGACGTAAACGTGGACGTGGACGCAGACCCGACGGAGGAGAGAGCGAGGCAGGGAGGGATGCAGGTGGAGGCGCGCAACAGCTACCTAGTGCTCGCGATTAGACCGCAGCGCGAGAGGACCATCAAGACACTGGCTTTTCGTCCGTTCGTCTCCTGGTCGCCCTTTGGAAGAAACAGGGTTGTTGTTCCTCCATCGCAAGCGCATCTGCATTGGCGCATGGTGCATGGTAAGGACCCCATCTCTGCGATGCAGTTTCTGCTCGAGCCTTGAGAAGGCCGATATCCACCCAATCATGATATCGCTGCCAGCGATCTCACTACCACTGAAACGCAAGGTACTGTGTGGGTTTCCTGTCGGACTCCATCTTTCCGAGACCCTCCCTCATGGCCTCATCTGTCTTGAACCTACCTACCGCCTCTGCACACTGTGGGCGTTAGCGGCCGTCTTTAGTCTACCCCGTAGGTAGACCCAGACCTATCTTTTTTGAGCTTCTCCCATTCTCACGTCCTCTTTCCGCAGTATCTACACTACCGAGACTACCACCCAGAATCTCGCCAAGGGCCGGAGCTGACCCTTGAGATCTACATGCCGATCAAACTGAGGTCGGATGTACCTCCGGGGCACACAGAGCCCCCGTGGTACACGTGTACTGTGTACACAGTACGGTGTAGACATCTCCCTATCTGTACAAGTGCGGTGGGGAACTAGGAGAGGTCCGATGCGGCTCAAACCCGGACAGATTTCGGAGACGCGCAAAGCGAGGAGACTTGCGCTGGGCCTTGGGGGGAACGAGTGGTGGGTTAAATTCCCTCGCGCATTGATGCCATACTTTTTCTCTTCAAAGGGTTTTATGACACCAATAACCTGTTTACCCCACGCCGCTCGTCTGCTAACATACCTCAAACAGAGGTCTTGCTAACAGTCGCAGATTGCGCTCGAGTTAAACGAACAACCGGATACGTAGGAGACTAGTAGGTATACCTACAAGCCTACCACTCTACCTCTACAGTCTACGCAGTACATATAGCATGGCAGCGTCGGTTCAGTCCATCTTCTCCTCAACCCACAAGGCGCCGCCGCCGCCACTTGGACATGCTAAAACCCAGGCTATGACGGACAATCCCCGTGCGTTGTTTCACCATCTCTCCTTTTCGCCTTTGATCAGGAAATCTTCCTCTTGTTGCTCCTGCCTGTGCTGAAGAAACTCGTCCTGGCCAGGAGTCCCAGGACAATGCGATGAGGCCCAAAGAATCCGGCCGGATCTTCATTCCCGCCTGCAGACTCTTTGCCGACCAGGTTGTCTCTGTCAACATCACATCCATCTTGCGGCTTAGGGTTGGAGCTGATCCGCGAATGAGGAGGCTCAGAGGGTTAGCTGAGGGGCATCGACTAGCCCGAAGCAGATAGAAGAAAGCCGTTGCGGCACCGATGCTGTGGCTGATTGGTGGGGGGAAGCGGGGGGATGAGAGATCATCCGGTGACGCAACCGAACAGTCAGTCACTTCATTCGACCTCGTCAGTATGTATGGTGTCTTGACATGACCTGCATGGCTGTCTTGTCGGTTGTTTACACTAGTCTTCCTAACGACGTCCAGGTTGACAAGGCTTGTAGTGTAGTAGGTAAAGAGAATCCGTGGTGGCACGTAGCTTTAGAAGGAGGTAGCGTGTGTTGTGCGTTTTCCATCCCCTTGAGTTTATACATCTACACATCCGTATCGGCTGCCTACTTGTCTCGCCATTCTTTGCATGCTCAATCCTCCAGGTTGCCCGTCCAAGTGTGAAGCGGACCCCGAAGCTTCCACCCTATTCCGCTCAACTCTCACGGCTACCTTACCCAGCACTTTGGATTGGACGTGGGGTGGCCGTTAACCGATAACAAGTCAGTCTAAACGATACTACCCCGACTCTGGTACCCCGATCTGTGATCCCGCAGCAAGTCCCTGACTCTCTTCCTACGCCGTACAGTACCCGGCTGATCTGACGGGACCCGACTCGTGCACTCTCCACAGCGGCTACTTCCCGTAATCTTCCCGCCCGGTCCAGATGGTTTATGGGCCCGAAGCTGGGGAGCCAGGTGGGGTCAACCGCTCCGGCTCCCCATATCCGGATGTCCCCGGACCCCACGATGCCGCACCTGGCTTTGGTGCCTGTCGTGCGGATGCGGATGCGGATGCGGGTGCTAAGGCGGGGGAGGCGGCTGCCGGGACGGGGAGGCTGTCTTTGATCACCAACCTTGACCACCGTGAATCATCACTGAATCATGGGCATGGGTCCCGAGGCGCTCCCGTCACAATGTCCGACGTGGCTACAGACACGGTTGCCGAGAGAACCATCGAGTCTGCACCCCAGCGGCATCTCACCGGCGCGAAGGCTGTCTCATGGGGGGACCTACCCCGGAAAGACCAGCTTATCGTCATCACTCTCGCTAGGTTGAGTGAACCGCTTGTCCAGACCTCTCTTCAGGTAGGCTCCTCGAAATTTATCATGCAGCGGTTCATCCATTGCTGATTGTTGGCTACATCAAGTCCTATATGTTCTACCAGCTGAAGTGGTTCAATCCCCACCTTCCTGACTCCACCATTTCCAGCCAGGCTGGCGTTCTTCAGTGAGTCTCTCCTCTCCCACTCGTGATCTAAGAAAATATGCCATGGATTGCCGTAGCGATATGTAAGCGGTTACCGTTGCTGATTCTGCGATTCCGAGTCAGTGCCAGTTTTACAGCTGCTCAATTCCTAACCGCCATGTTGTGGGGGCGAGTTGCCGACTCTCCTCGGTGTGGCCGCAAAACCGTGCTTTTGATCGGTCTCGGTGGTACAAGTAAGTTTTTGGTAACTACTTCAACTGATGTTCCCATCTTTCAGCAGTTTCTGTCCCTGTCTCCGCGCTTCTGCTAAAGGTGTTTTTCATAGTGCTATCATGCGTCGGGTTCGGCTTCTCAACTTCGTTCTGGGAAGCCCTTCTCTTCAGGTCTCTGGGTGGAATCACGAACGGGAACATAGGCGTTCTCAGAACCATGTGAGGAGAACAAGATTGGCCCGGATGAGCTATCATGCTTCCTTCCGTGCTAACCTCCGGATCCCGTGCTGACATGTCTGACTTGTAGGATCAGTGAAACCGTCAAGGAGAAGAAGTAAGTTAGCCTCTTTAGCCAAGGGCCTTTGTCCTCCTGTCCAACAATACTGATTTCGCGTTGGGTGTCATAATACTAATGGACGCGACAGATACCAGTCAAGGGCCTTCCTTCTACTTCCTATGACTTTCAACATTGGCATCATCATTGGTCCCATACTGGGCGGTCTTCTCTCAGACCCTGCGGGGACCTATCCTGACACGTTTGGCAAAATCAACTTCTTTACGCACTTCCCGTATGCTGCTCCAAACATACTGTCGGCTGTGTTTCTCTTTTTCGCCATGATTTCCGTCTGGCTTTTCCTAGAAGAGGCAAGTTTATCTCATGCTGATCATGTCATCTTACCCCCCAAAGAAAGTTCGCTTCTGTGACTCCATGCTTACTCACACCTCTCACTTAGACGCTGGACTCGCGTGCAATGGTGCGAGACAGGGGCCTGGAACTGGGGCAGAAGCTTCGGGGATGCTTTTCTCGCGGTGACATGGAGGCGTTCTATGCACCATTGGCATCAACAGATTCAAGTGCCGAACTCGAGCTTAGTCCTGCAGTGGAGGAAAACAAATCCTCAGGCAAGCCGACGTACGGTGATGCTGGGAAGCAAAATCAGGCTCGGAGGCGATACACCCAGCGGCTCCCCTTCCGACGTATCTTTACGCGAAACGTCAGCTTCACACTTGTTGCAAACTTCCTCCTTGCCTTTCACGTGGGTACCTTCAACTCGCTGTGGTTCGTCTTCCTTTCCACGCCCGTGTACGACCCAACCAAAACCGCAGCGTCTCCAAATGCCTTGGTGCGGAATCTCCCCTTCCTCTTTACCGGGGGCTTAGGTCTACAACCCCGTGAGGTGGGTATGACCATGGCTATTCTCGGTGTCATTGGGATCGGCCTTCAGCTCGGACTTTACCCGTGGCTTTCTGCACGGTTGGGTACGGTCAGGAGCTGGCGCTTCTTCCTTCTGTTTTTCCCCTTTACTTACTTCCTAGTGCCATACCTAAGCTTGGTGCCGAGCTCTTCGCCGCCACCAAGCCCCAAAGACGGCATTGCAGTCTGGATGGCCATCGCCGGAGTGCTCGCCCTTCAGGTCGTTGGACGCACGTTTGCGTTGCCAGCGCAGACCATTCTAGTCAATAACTGCACTCCGCATCCTAGTGTGCTAGGTACGGTACACGGCATTGGACAGAGCGTTAGCAGTTTTGCCAGGACTTTGGGGCCTATGCTCTGTGGTTTCTTGTATGGACTTGGCCTGAATATGGGAGTTGTCGGTGCCGTGTGGTGGGGCTTGAGCGGAGTGGCCATACTCGGATTCCTGGCCAGCTTATTCGTATGGGAGGGTGATGGGCATGAGATCTGGTTAGAGGGTGACGAAGAGGATGACATCTAGCATCCAAGTGCGCGATGTTTAAACATGATGCTTAACGGGGTGTATCGTGAGTATTTTGGATATCCTACAGTGTAACCCGACATATAAAGAAAAGCTGTACATAGAAACAAATGTCAACTGACGAGAACATAGTATATCGTTGGGGTTGGCAGTGTACTTTTTGTATCCGCGTCCTTGTCTGTAACTTCTTTGAAAAGTTCTCAGCTGGTCGAATATGAAGGTACCATTGGCATCACACGGGGATTCTTAAATGCAAGGGTTAGCGTGCGTAATCATCCAAAATCCTTCGTGGCGCAATTGGCTAGCGCGTCAGACTGTTAATCTGGAGGCTGTAAGTTCGATCCTTACCGAAGGAGTGTTTGTGTGTTATTAATCGCTTGGTTGATAATACTTCTTTTGCCGTTTTGGCATTTCTTTGCTTTCTGTTTTATTTACATGCAATCCTTTTTTCTTTTTTTCGAGTCCTTCTCTTTCTTCCTTCTTCTAACTTCTTATCGTCGGTTCCTCGATTTTTTTTTGGGCGTCGGGGTTCCCTTTTCAACTTTCAGCCTCCCCTGCTCTCCAACTGGTAAAACTTCCTTGTTTGGTGTTCTTTCTCGTACTTCTTTCTCTTCTCAGCGTAACTTTCACTTTCGGGATGTAATAGTCTGACTAAACAGTCTCTTATTAATACTAACGCAAACTGATTCCTGACGTAACCCTTAGGTGGCATCTGGGAGTCGAGCTAAGTTCCCTATCAAGTCATGGTAACAAACCTGGGTGTAATCGCATCCGATCTCCCCATATCCACATAGCGCCTCCCACCCGCACTGCAATGAGCCACTGAGCGATTCACTCTAACCAAAGGCGAAGAAATTACAGGTACCTAGGTATGGGCCCAGGCCCAGTCACCCGTGTAAGCCGAGTCTCGTACCATTACCTCTAGATTACCACATACCAAATACCAACCATTCTACATTTTCTTATCAGGCGCAATTAGTACCCATGCAATTAACTTGCGCCGAAAGACAACTCGAATATTATACGACTTAATTGCCTACCTCTTCCACCTGTTCAGACGGAATCAGATCGCCTTGCCTCTATTTCTTCTGTCAAACGACGACGCCATCACCACAAGGACCGCGGCACAAGGTCTTCATAACAACAAAAGGGGTGCAGGCTGTCAACGACCAAGCAATGGCTACCCCCGTCAAGATAAAGCTAAACGGACTGGACATGGTGGTTGATGCGGTACCGCTTGAACTGGAGGCGTTTAAACCATTTGGTGATGTGGTTGCGAATCCACGACCTGACCTCCACCCTGCCATGGCCGCAAAGGCCAACGACACGGCAGGCATGCCCTTCGATGCCATTGTCGCCAACCAGGGGACGGCAATCAAGTACCAGCACGTGTCACGGATGGAAAACCTCTACGACCAGGCACTGAGCGGCCGAACCGGAGTGGCCGTCTCCAACATGTTTGTGTGTGCATCACGGGCGCTCCCTCGGCGACTCGAAGCCGGGGTTGAGCGTGAGGTCTTCCCGGTCACCGTCCTCGAGCGCCATCCGTTCACCAGTCAAACATTTGTCCCACTCCGCGCCGATTCACAAAGTCGATACTTGGTCGTTGTCGCTCCAAGCCTCTCGCCAAGTGCCAAAGACCAACCGCTGCCAGTTCCCTCCTCGCGGCCTCCTGGGACGATCGCTAATCGAGAGTTGCCGGGTCGAGGCCTACCTGACCTGAAGGGCCTTCGTGCTTTCATCGCCACTACGGACCAGGCTGTAACCTATGGGGCAGGCACGTGGCACTCCCCAATGGTGGCCCTTGGCCCAGCCGACAAGGCGATTGATTTCTTTGTTTTCCAGTTCGCCAACGAGGTAACCGTGGAAGATTGTCAGGAGGTTTTCTTTGGTCCATCCACTGTCACGGTCCGCCTTCAGCCTCAGTCGATAGCGAGTAAACTGTGATCGAAGGGCGCATTGCCGTTGGGAATACCGTTGCTTTGATGGTTACATGTAACTACCAAGCCGGCGGTGCCATCAACGTGGCATGGCTTGCTTCACTTGACCTGCTGTCTGGAATTCGGTGATGGATGGCCTGCATGGCGGCTGATAACCACCACCAGCCTTATGCACAAACAGATAGCTGTAGGGAGTTTGAATGCATAGAAATGGCGGGGTACTAGTACCCCTATCGCGTTCTGTTGTAGTATTTACGATTATCAACCTTACTGAAAATGGTTTGTGCGTCTGAGTGAAGAGCTGAAGACAAACTATGGCAGGAGTGCCCAATAGTGTGCTGGCACATGTTCACCATCACACTTGCTTACCGTGAAGTTTGGGCCCTCGGCTGAAAAAAGCTGCATTCATCATCGGCTTCGGCCCCTTTCGTCCTTAGCAAACGCACAATGAAGCCCGCGATCGAATCAGTCGATGCAAGAAACAAGCTGGAAGACCTCTCTGGCATTAAGATCAAGCCGGGAGAGAACCCATACGATGCCCTCATACAAACCTGCAATGACCATCCCGTAGGTGCCTCGGTCGATGCTCTCCTTCCATGCCGGGGGAAAGTTGCGAGTATTTGAAGCTCTACTCACCAATCTGCTCCCTACGTCTAGGCCGAGATACAGTCGTTGTATGCCACTCATCGACTGACACGAAACCTCCAACAGCAACAACAGTTCTTGTCAGCCGACTTTTCAGAACTGATTATCGACCCCGTTTTGTTTCGGCTCGAGAGACCATCAGTCGAGCCTGGGTTCCGAGACCCACGACACTGTCTTGTCTTCTGGGCAAGACCACCGGAGCACATATTGAAACTGGCTTCCCATCTGCAGACCCTCCTCCAGAAGGCGGCTCCCAGTGCGTCGGCCACTCTCCCTTGCTGCTTGCCCCGGGCCTGCGCGTAGCGTGGAATGACTGACTGTGTGCGACGTAGATGTATGGCTCATGCCCACGCACCGTATGCACATGACGACACTTGAGCTGGCGCACTCGCGGACCTCGGACGAGATTGCGAGCCTTGTGTCGTCGATACGACCGGCGATACCGTTGTTGACGAACCTGACGTTTACGCATCGGGCCCGGTTGGTGAGACCCATGATATCCTATGACCTCTCGGCCATTGCCGTGTCGTTCGTCCCGGCAGCCGAGGAGAATGACGGGTACACGTACCACCATCTCCGCAGGGACCTGTTCGAGGCAGTGAAGAAGACTGGGGTTGAGATCGGGTCTCGGTACGTGGTTCCTAGCGCTCACATCACGCTCGGGCGATATCTCGGCCAAGAAGACCACGCAACGCCTCTGGCCCGGAAAAGCTGGATTCAGGCGATTGAGGACATCAACAAATGGCTGGAGACTCAAGTGTGGAACTCTGTCGACAGCGAGTTCACGGGGGAGTGGATAGTCGGTCAGGAGAAAGGGCTTGAAGTGCGAGACGGGACGCTATGGTATGGAGGTGGTCGCACCATCATGGTGGGAGAAGGATTCTAGGTTGGGGAAGGTTGGGGAAGGTTGGAACGGGGAAATGTGCTTTGTTTGTTTCCCCGCCCTCAAAGCCATTCAACGTTTTGTACCATGCCTACATACATGGTGCACAGTGGACAAGTTCATAATAGGTACTGCCGAGGTAGCGATCTCAATTTGAACTGATCTTGTCCACAACAAGTCTCCCAAAGGCGTATTTTGGTTTGTTGCATGGCTGTCATATCTGCCATTCATATTGCCGATCCAATTGCCCATGCAACTAACACCAGACTCTCATCTCGAGATTGGACTTGGTGTCATTGGTCATAGTTGCTGAGTGTTTTCATGACGTTGTCGAGGTCGCCCCCGTCACTGCCTAGTCTCGTCCCGTTAATTCTGTACTGCCCACTACCTACCTAACCCCACCACGCCCTGCCCCTAACCCCCCGAAGCTTCAGTACCCCGGGCCGAAGTGCCTGGTACCTGACTACCTGCGGTGCATACCCGCTGCCGACGTCGCTGTCGACGTCTCCAAGTGCCGTCCTCGAGTGAACACTGGAGCAAGACTAAACCGGCGCCGTTGTCCTAATTCAGATGGTTGCGCCGTCGCAATTCCCCTTCGTTTCTGCATTGTACATACGTTTCCCGGCCGGGACTTGTTCGTGGGAACCACGGTTGCGGCAGCAATGGAAGGGAGGCAACCGTTTGTGCTGGGAAGTGCTGGAGTCAGCGGCAGCGGCAGTGGCAGCGGTAGTGGTGGCGGTAGTGGTGACGGTGTAGGGAGCCAACCAGGTCCCGGTCTACAGGAGGGCCCCAGTGACCGTGGCCGCGGCCGTAGCCATGATCGCACCTCCGTCCCCGCCCCTGCGGACGCCTCAGCATCCTTCCGTGACGGCGGAGTCACCGCGCCGCTTTCGGTACCTGACCGCTCGGTCCAGAACACAGCGCAGGACACGGCCACGATCACGGTCAAGGCCGCGGTCAAGGCCACGACCCTCCCTCTTGCTGTCGAGTCCGCCTCTCTGCCTGCTCTGGCCAAAATGCCAGCTAGCTCCTCCTCACTCTCACTCTCACCCTCACCCTCACCCACAGCCACAGCCACATCCACATCCACCGACAGCGGCACCGGCAGCGGCAGCGGTAATGGTAACCTCCGCCCCGCCGCCCGCCCCGCCGCCACCGTCAGAGCCGTCACCCCGGAGCCGGCTGAGGTTACGTTCGATATGTCTGCACAAAGCGGCAATGCGAACACCGCAGCCCTGCCACACCGGCCCGGCGCATTTCCCCCCATCTCTCCCGAAACCTCGCCCCGGTCCATCCCCGGTGCTGCCGGCCCTGTCATGAGCACGACGGCGCCCGCACCCATTCCGGTTGGCCATCCATCTGGCAATCCATCTGGTCCCGTCACTGCAACTCCGTCTAGCCTCCCCACGCGACGCCAGGGCATGGTGTTTGGAGAGGGTCTGGCCGGCTCTCTCGACAGCGCCTCGTCAAGTCCACCGTCACGGCCGTCCTTGTCAAGTTTCCGCCCCAGGACCCATACTTTGGACAGTGCTTTCCGGCAGCAACTGGTTATTGAGAACCGTCACCGCATCGGTTCAGTCTCATCGTCCGGCTCAGTGGCTGTCGTAGATGACTCGAGGTCTCTGAACTCGTATGGACCGCCAGACACTCACCAAATAGCAGCCGCGCCTGGACACAAGGAGAGAAAATCGTCAACGGCGAGGACCCGGCTCACCAAAAAGTCGGCCGCCTCCCAATCATCTTCTCCCTTCTCATCGCCTCAGCCGTCAGTTGATTCCTTGCCGTTGCCTGTCCCTACGCGGGATGCCAACAAAGTCTTGCTGTTGATGAAAAACCTGTGCGGAAGGATGCGCGGTGAGGCCCAGTACTTGAAAGACATTGGTGGCCCATGGTATTGTGGTATATGTTACATAGACGAGGAGAAGGGGAGCTTAGTGAGCGACTCGGGAGAGGGTAGCTCTTCTTCTCTCTCCCTCCTTATACCGGATCTTCGTGGATGTCGTGTACTTCCGCTCAGTCGGATGGAGAGAGGCGGCCGGCCGTCGCTGGAGATCACCAGTCCACATCTCAATCTCAGCATCATCTTGCGCCCTTCAGCGGCAGAAGAGTATGATCTGTGGCTGGCTGCCCTGCTGTGTTGGCAGCAGCTGCGGCCTTCCGGGACCAAGAACACCATCACAAGATCAGGGAGCAGCGTTGCTCTGCCACCGCTTAGGAGCGAGATGCAGCGTCGGGCCTCCTCTTCCGGCCTACGAGAGGCTACCGTCATCAAGGTCGGCAGAGTTATGCTCTGGGATAAAGGCCTCGCTACCTCCCCACGGGCCATTGTCAAGCGTCCCTCGGCGCGAGATTTGCGAATACCGCACATGGCCTGGAAACATGTTTCTTGCATACTATCGGACAACGGCGAACTCAAACTCATGACAGAGCAAGATGTCTCGCTTTTGGCCATGATCGAATTATCTCAGCTGTCCAGGTCAGCTATACAGCAGCTCGACAAGACAGTGCTAAACGAAAACTGCTGTATAGGTATCTTCCCCATCTACTCCCCTACCTCCACTCAACTGTCAATTTTGCGCCCAGTGTACATATCGTTGGAGTCCCGGCTGCTTTTTGAGGCTTGGTTCGCCCTTCTCAGAGCATTTGCAGTACCTGATATATATGGGCTCGATCCAACAAGCCGAGGGCGTGTGTACGAGGTGACCAACCTCAACTCAGCACCCAAAGGAGAAGTTTTCAGAGTCGAAAAAACAATCAAGGTTAGAGTCACCGAGGCAAAGCTACGGAACCGAACATTTCCTCAAGAGGGAAATCTGATGGAGCGCCAAGGCAAAAATATTGCAGAGTTAGACCCTATCATCGGTAATTACTTCGCCGAGGTCATACTGGATGGCGAAGTTCGAGGCCGGACATCAACCAAATCCAACACCAAGAACCCCTTCTGGCGTGAGGATTGCGAATTTACGGATCTTCCTCCTTCCTTACCTTACCTATCGGTGGTTCTAAAACGGATCGTGGGCAACACTGAAAGCTTCAGCCACCAACTTCAGGCCACTCTTGGCTTGCCCAAAGCAGGCCAGCTGAGCGAGGTATTGTGCGGTGCTGTCGACATCCCTTTGCATCTTCTGGAGCGCGGCAAAGACCACGAGCAGTGGCTCCAGGTGTATGACGCACGACAGCAGTCGATTGGAACAATGCTTCTCAAGGTGCACCACGAAGAGGTCGTCGTCTTGCACTCCAAAGAATATCAGCCTCTCTCGGAGCTCCTACACCGCTTTGGGTCAGGGCTGACGACGCAGATAGCTGAGGTGATGCCTGGAAACCTACGGAAGCTCGCAGAAATATTTGTCAATATATTCCAGGTCTCTGGAAAGGCAACAGAGTGGCTGGTGACCTTGGTAGAGGAAGAGATTGACGCGATAGGGAACCAAACTGCCAGCAAGCAACCGCGGTTCAACCAGCGGCTGATGTCCAATGACTCAATCGCTTCCACAGACAAAATTCGGCAGACAGTTCAGGACATGAGCAGGACGCTCCCGGGCGAGGCGAGCTTGCTGTTCAGGGGAAACTCATTGTTGACGCAGGCCTTTGAGTTTTACATGCGACGCTTAGGCAAAGAATATCTGGAAGAGACTCTGGCAGAAAAGATCCGTGAGATCAACGAGCTCGACCCTGACTGCGAAGTTGACCCGAGTAGGGTGCAGAACGGCGACGATATACATCAGCATTGGGCGAAGCTGATTGAGCTGACCAGCGCTGTCTGGCGCTGTATCGCGTTGTCCGCGCACCGTCTGCCGTCCGAGATCCGTCACGTACTGAAATATATTCGGGCTGTTGCAGAGGATCGCTACGGCCACTTTTACCTCACCGCTACCGCTGTTTATACTTCGGTGTCCGGATTTCTCTTCCTCCGCTTTCTCTGTCCAGCTATCCTTAACCCGAAGCTCTTCGGCCTCCTGCGCGACCACCCCAAACCGCGCGCACAACGCACCCTGACTCTCATCGCCAAGAGCATCCAGGCTCTAGCCAACCTCAATATCGCCAGCAAGAAGGAGACATGGATGGAGCCGATGAACGAGTTCCTCCACAAGCAGCGCCAGCCATTCAAGGAATTTGCTGACGCCGTGTGCGCCATTCCGGCCGAGAGTACCAGCACCAGCGTGCCTGCTCCCTACTCGACCCCCCTGACGATTCTGGGACGCTTATTACCCCTCGCTCGCGAGGGTTTCCCTTCGCTCCCATACCTGGTCGATCATGCGCGTAACTTTGCGGCTTTGGCCAAACTATGGGCTAAAATCCATCCCGAGTCAGACTGGGACTCTTCCAACTGCGAAGGCGACCTGCTTCACTTCCATCGTCTATGCACTGCGCTCCACCAACGCGCAGCGCATTGCTTCTCGCAGATGGAGACTCGTCGAAGCGCCGGCGAAACTACCAGCAAGCCACCGGATGAGCGGCTTCGTCTCTCCGATGCGCTGGACAACTTGAGTTATGACGATGTCCTCGGTATGTCTGCACACAGCAACGCTACTGGGACCTTTTGGATAGACGGTGAGAGCATAGCGCCTGGCTCCTCAGGGAGTGAGGTAGATGGGCCTATTATGGGAGGCGGCAGCGGCAGCAGTAGCAGCATCAGCAGTAGGGACATAAGGAACGCCTCGAGCGCGATACGGCAAGGTTCCAAGAGCAGCGAGCAGCTGTCGTCCATGTCGGGCGGAACTGTGAAGGGGCTGCGCAATGGAATGCAGGCACCGCGGAAATTCCTTACTGGGTTTATTCGCAAGACAAGAACGGCTTCACCCGAGTTCGGCACCGGAGGTAGCCCTGGTCACGGATTCATCACGGGGACAATGGTGCCTGAAGCAGGCAGTACGTCGGCAGTAGCATCGTCATCTGCCACTGCTGTAGGTAAAGAGAACGGTCGAGAGCGGGACCGAGGCGCGGAACTAGAGAAAGACAGCAAAGAAAAGCATTCAGGCAAAGACGCCAAGGCGTCTTCAGGTAAATCCCAAGGCGATCGCCACCGAACGGGCGTCCACCAACACTGGCACGAGAAGGGGATTTAAAACGACTTGGTTCAAAAGCACCAACAGTCGTTGGCCCATGCATGCTTTGGAAGGCTTTGGAAACCCGGGTCTGAAAGGGGGCGACGGCTCCTGTACAAAGGGGCATGCATACATTGACGATTTATGCCTTGGATATGGAATACGAGTCCTCAGAGAGCGTATCAGACTGAGCGCTCATTTTTTATTGTTTTTCTCCATATAATTCCTTGTTTAGCTTTTTGATTACTGTACTTAGCGACGATCATGATGATGATGGCCCATCTTTCGAGGGCATGCTTGCTATTGACCTGAGGGACTATCCGGCAGCACCAACCGCCGAATGCGTACCTATTTCCCCAGATCATAATCGAGGGGTGGGAGTTGTCTGCTGTTGGTGGTGATGCTACTCGGAAGAACACGACAGTGCCTACAAAAGTGGCGAACTGGCCTAAAACACATTCTATTCCATGAGGCTATGAAGACTCCAGGGACTGGTCGAAACACTCTCGCTCAAGAGTCCATGTTCCAACCTTGACACAGTTTGAACTCCCCAAACGCCAATGTGGATATCATTAGGTGTTGTATGTAATTGGACCTTGATCCCAACCCGCTCAATGCCAATAACTCCTTTTGCAGATACTGCCTAACCCGAGGAGCACTTTAAGTATCACACAAACGGTAAAATAAATTATCAAGTGATCGTTGAAACAACTTGATCAAGAAAAAAACTTCTTGTAGGCCGCCTTCTCCTTGGCCATTCTAGCCGCGGCAGCCTTCTTGACAGCCGCCAGCTCGTTAAGAATGGCGGCATCTTCAGGCGCAAGCTTCTTGGCCTCCTCCAGACTCCTCAAGGCGCTTTCCTCGTCCTTCATGCGAAACTGGGCGTAACCCCTGCGGTATAGAGCCTTGGCCTTGTCCTTGTCTGAGATGGTGGCAACAGCAAGCGCGCTGTCGGCGCTGCGAACGCACTCATCCCAAGCGCCCAGCTTCATGTTCATGAGAGCCGCGTTGCTGTTGAGCGAGACGCGCAGGGCGTCCAACTTTTGCTTCGTATCAGCCGGCTCATTGTCAAGCTCGGGATCCTCGTTCAGATAGCGCAGACCCTTCTGGTACTTATCGAGGGCCACGGAGAGGTCGCCGGCCTTGAAAGCCTTGTTTCCAAAGTCCTTGCAGTCTGTCGCAATCTTGAGGATCTTGGAGGCAGAGAGGGGCTGGCCGTCGGTGGCTTCGTCCTCGGGGAAGTCCTCGTATTCGTCGCCGTAAGCGTCGGCAGTCTTTGTGTCAGCGCTCACAGCTGCGTCGCCGCTAAGCTCGCCGCAGTCGGCAATGACGACATCCTTGGTCGGCTTGTCGCCCTGGGTCTCCAGGTTCTCAATCTGTCTGACGACTGACTTGCCGCTCAGCACCTCGCCAAAGACGACGTGCTTGCCATCGAGGTGTGGGGTAGGAACGGTGGTGATGAAGAACTGAGAGCCGTTGGTGCCTGCAGGACATGGGCGTCAGTAAAAGGCCGGAACCACCAAGTAATGACCGACGGTGAAATGACATGCAACGTACCGGGACCAGCGTTGGCCATGGACAGGAGGAATGGGCGGTCGTGCTTCAACTGGAAGTTTTCGTCCTCGAACTTTGCGCCGTAGATGGACTCGCCACCAGTGCCGTCTCCAGCGGTGAAGTCACCACCCTGGATCATGAACTGCTTGATGACACGGTGGAACTTGGAGCCCTTGTAGTGTAGCGGCTTGCCCAACTTGCCAACACCCTTCTCGCCGGTGCACAAGGCGCGGAAGTTCTCGGCCGTCTTGGGGACAATGTCATTGTAAAGCTCAAAAACAACACGGCCGGCTGCCTTCCCGCCGATGGTGATGTCGAAAAAGACGCGGCTGCGAGCCTGCTTGACGTCGTCGGTAGAAGACATGGTTGGCTTAAATCGAGGAATCGGGATTTCAAGAGCAATTGGTGCGAGTCTGAAACTGTACTGCGACTGAACGAGCTCAGTTAGCATATATAGCTTGGGCAACTACGACGGAAGCAAACTATTTGTCCACGGCACATATAGTAAGCAGGGAGGGAGGGAGATGGCAAGCAGTCTGGGTATCATGATGTCCACGGAGCGAGCGCAAATAGAAGCTTACTTGCCTGTCCCGACTAGCTGCTATTCTGACTTTGACGAAAGGAATTGGTACGTAGGCGGAAAATATCTAGCACAACTGCACGTTGCGAGCAATACTGCAGAAAAACGGCGTCTGGTAGACTGGTTGAAATAAGGGAGTCGCTGCCGGTGATGATTTCGTCCCAGTCCAAACAGCTGGCTGCAGGGCGGGGTGAATTGGTTTCGTGAACATTCGAGAATGGTGGGGCAGCGATGTGCTTAGCTCCCGTCCCGTTTCCTTCTTGCCTTCATCTGATATCCACCTTGTACCCAAAGGTACCTAGCTCTAAGCGCCAAGGCACACAAGTACGGGACAGGTACTTTTGCAGTACTCACAGCGGGAGCGGCTAAAGCAGCTGAGGCTCCACCAGTAGTGTATTCCCAAGATGCGACTTGTAGAGACCGTAGAGAAGGGTACCTCATTACCTCGTGGCCTGGCCCGAGCACACTTCTACCCAGCTATCAGCCTCTAAACTTTACTGTAGCACATCATCGTTCCCGGCTCTATATTTGGCAATTACATAGACCCTTTCTCAGATCCATCTAGCAATCCTCAACCACTCGCCCACCTAGACTTGATCTGTCGAGCCAGACACCTTGTCTGCCGCCGCTTGGCCGTCTTCCATGGCCCTTCGCTGTGGTTGCTGTGGTTGCTTTTGCTGCTTCTGATTAAGCTTTCGGTCTTCCTTCTTCTTCTGCTGCTGCTGCTGTTGCTGCGCTGCCGGCGTGGCCGATACCTCGAGGGTGACCTACTGTCATGTTAATAGGGCTCTGGGCCTACTAGTGCAGTGTTGAAGTGCTCACCGGTCCATCATTGACCAAGGCAACCTGCATCATAGCCTGGAAAACACCGTTCTTGACCTTTTCGGCAGCATAGCCTTCCTGGACCTTCTTGTAGAACAGGTCATACAAGGTCTTTGCCTCATCTGGGCCTAGGGCTCCGTGGAAGTCGGGCTTGCTGCCCTTCTTGGTAGAAGCAAGCAAGGTGAACTGAGAGACTACACGATACGGCTGCTTGTTAGTCTTGCAGGGAGAGTTCAGCCAACCCGGTAAGACGTTACCCACCACACAATACCTCGCCGCCGATGTCTTGGACACTTTTTTTCCACTGCGGTGCGCCGGCCGTTAGAAAGGGATTCCTCCAGTCCATGCGTGTTTTGCGAGCAAGTGTCGTACCCGTCCTCCTGATTCATCATCCCACAGTTTCAACTTGAGTACTTTGGATGCCAGAGCCTCAGCCTCCTTTACCGTGTCGCCGGGGGCAACAGCCGCCAAAACGAGAATGCCTTGGCCGATAGCGGAAACCAATTGGTTGTCGACCGTGACAGAGGCTGAGAGCACGCGCTGGAGAATTGCTGCATGTGATATGTTGGCTATGTATACACGTAATGACAACCAGAGAGGCGGGAATTTGGCTATACGGACCCTTCATTTTGCGCTTTCTTGTTCTCAAACTGCTTTGTGTCCCTTGGCATTGCGAGTTAGGTAGAATTGTAACGTCGTTGGCTGAGCCTCGATGAAGAGCAAGGTCGCTAAATAAGTGACAGACAGGCACAGGCAGGGAAGGTGACTCAAGTAGAATAAGAAACTGAAACGGCCCCTAGAGGTACCCGAAGCACCAGGAATTGCGGAGCCGGTTTGCTGGCCTGAAAACCCCAAGACACAGCCTTGAAGTCCAAGTTATTGGCATCTGACATTAGGTATGCTAGACTAGAGCCATGTTGGGTTTGACCCGAGTTTTGGAGAGAGTACCTCTACGCGAGTTTAGATAGCACGGTCTCGACGCTTAATCCGATGTCTTTTTACTCCGAGCTCAGTCGAAAGCTACGTTTAGGTGCTAAGAGTCCTGCAGTCCGTGGATCGGCAGAGAAAAGGGAGCAGACTCAGGCAGAGTGCCCTGAAAGATTAAAAGGTTTAAAGAGGCGAGCCAAGTTGACGTTGAAGGGGAGACATGAGGTGAAGAGTGGGTCTTTCTTTCAATGCCTCCATCTCGGCAAACAGCGCTCCCGTCCCATCCCCACAAAAATGGCCTGAAGGACCAGTGCTGCTGCAGGTGCCTCATTCACTACAGCGCCTGCCTGCCCGCTGTCTAGGGGTAGAAGTACCCTCGCCTATTATGCAATACTGGCAGTACCTTCCACCTTTGCAGGACAGGACGGACAGCTTGAGACGGGGCAGCCCCCAAACAGTTCTGTACCGCAGTACACCCGCACTACGGACAGGGCAGGCAGGGAGGTACCTACAGTGGACAGTGGTACGTTAGGTCCGGTAGCCTCTCACCTGGGCAGGATCGCCATCATCTCTCTTCGCCGAATCCGCAAAACCAGGGCAAACCTCCTCATTCTCTCCCAAACCACAAATCCGTCTCGGATCATTTATCGACGACGACGACGACGACGGCCACGCCAGGCAATCACCAGACTGGGGATCGCCATCGAGCACCACCGCCACCACATTGACATCAACATCCGTACTACTACTACTACCGTTACTCCTTAATCAGAGGTGATTCAATCCACCCGTTGTCCGTTGCCGTGCCCGTTGCCCGTAACGCCCTGGTAGTCTCGGCGCATTGCCCAAACAGCATACCTCTACATAATATCCATGCATTCACAACCCATTCGCACACAAGTCCAAGTCCCATTCAAGTCGATCTCGCTTGGTCCCACCAGCTAACCAAGGGAGCTTCCGAAATCAGCTCGCCTCACGTCGTCTCCCCTTCCGACGACGGCTCGAAGCCCCGAGAACGTAGCCTACCGCTACTGCCACAGTAGCCCGGTAGCTTCTGGTCGCGTGGGGCCCAAAACGTCCCGAAATCATCACATAAACACATTACACCACCGTCGCCCACCCCGCATCCAGCGCCCACTCCGACATCTCATCTTGCATTTGAGTCTGCGAGAAACAGTCCGACACGATGGCGGCCCGAAAGCTCGCGCAAGAAGTCGACAAGTGCTTCAAGAAGGTGGCAGAAGGCGTGCAGGAGTTCGAGGCCATCTACGAAAAGATTGAGCAGTCCAACAACCCCGCCCAAAAGGACAAGCTCGAGGACAACCTGAAACGAGAAATCAAGAAGCTGCAAAGGCTTCGAGATCAGATCAAGACATGGGCCGCAAGCAACGACATCAAGGACAAGGCTCCTTTACTGGAGCATAGGCGCCTGATAGAGACGGTTCGTATCCCTGCTGGTTGCTGAGCATGGACTCTCCTCCGTGTGGCGCCGTGAACACCCCAAAGCTCACCGGTATTTCTAGCAAATGGAAAAGTTCAAGGCCGTAGAAAAGGCCATGAAGACCAAAGCGTATTCCAAGGAGGGCCTATCGGCTGCGGCCAAGCTAGATCCCAAAGAGCAAGCCAAGTTGGAAGCAGGCGAATTCCTCAGCCAAATGGTCGACGAGCTCGAGCAGCAAATCGAGACCCTCGAGGCCGAGAGCGAATCAATACAGGCCACCATGAAGAGGGGCAAGGGACATGGCGCCAAGGCCGACCGGATAAGCGAAATCGAGCGCATCATCGAACGACACAAATGGCACCAGGGGAAGCTGGAGCTGATCCGGCGATCTTTGGAGAACGGCGGCGTCGAGACCGAGCAAGTGAACGAGCTGGAAGAAAGCATCAGATACTACGTTACCGATGGCATGAATGAGGATTTCATGGACGACGAGGGTATTTACGATGATCTGAACCTGGAGGAAGAAGAGGATGCCTACGGAATGAATGTCGACAACGACAAGGGATCCTCACAGGATGCCCAGTCGATCCAGGACGAGCCCGAGCCCGAACCCAAGCCGGCGAGCGTACCGGCGGCGAAACAGCGTACCCCAGCCGACACAGTTGCAGCATCGTCGATACGACGCTCTTCTGCGCAGTTGAAGTCGCCACTACCGACGTTGGCGACAGTCCACAACAATACACTGCCAAGCATTAGCAATACACCGGCAAGCAATGTGCCCATGAAGCCGGCATCACTGCCCGCGAGGCCGGCCGAGGGCCTAAAGTATGCCAGTGCAGCAGCCGCGGCAGCCGCGAGCGACAAGAGTGATGTAGGAATCGCGCCCCTGCCCCCGCCGCCAACGACCAACTCATCGCTACCGGCATCACACGTCAAGACCAGCGCAGCAAACTCCCCTAGCGTGGCAACGGTGCAGCCAGTTGCCCAAGAGAGGATAGCAAACGCGGTACCCCCAGCTGTTGGCGGGTCGGTTACAAATACTCCGGTAACGAGCAAGGCTGAACCGGCCAAGAACGTGTCTTCTCGTAACAAGGCACCGGCACCGGCACCGGCACCGGCACCAGCACCAGCTGCCACAGCAACGACTTCCAAAGCAACACCTGAACCAGAAGCCGTGGAGACCCAGCCCAAAGGTCGGAACAGTCCGCATCCATGCCAGACCTCGCGTACTAACGTGTGTATAGTGCCCCAAACGAACGGTGCAAGCAATGGTATCAAGCCCATCGAGGAAGTGGAAGAAGAGGAGTCAATTTACCATCTACCAGCGTCCTTGCAGGACCTGGTCGAGTCATACGAGGTTACCAAGAAGTGCCCAGCGCCTTTGGATGCGCCTGCCACGCAGAGGATGCATGCGGCGGCGGTAGCGAACAAGCCGAGTGCCCTCGACACTGAGCTGCCGCGACCTTACTACCCCGATGTTAGGTACCACACGCACAACCAGTTCCCGCAGGAGCCCCTGGCCATATTCGAAGATCCTCGTCTCTACCAGCGGATTGATCCGGACACCCTCTTTTACGTCTTCTACTACAAACAGGGAACTTATCAACAGTACCTCGCGGCCAAGGCACTGAAGGACCAAAGTTGGAGGTTTCACAAACAGTACCAGACGTGGTTCCAGCGACACGAAGAGCCGAAATCGATCACAGAGGAATTCGAACAAGGAACATATCGTTTCTTTGACTACGAGAGCACATGGTATGGCATAGCCCCAGAATGAAGCGCCCCTGACCCCATGGTTAACACCCACATCCAGGATGAATCGCAGGAAGGCCGACTTCAAGTTCACCTACAAGTTCCTTGAGGACGAAGTATGAGGAGGTTTTGCTACGCGGCCCGGATAAAGCTGGCGTGCTCATCACTTAGGTTTGCTATTGTTAGTGCTGTAACCGTATTCTGAGAATCTGCGCGCAACCTATGGGGTGCTTGCGGTTTTTCTTGAGCTTGGGAATAGGGGTATGATAGGTTACGGCAGGCTTTGGTGCGAGTCATTAGCTTGTAACCCATCTTCGGTGAAGTCTGTTGACTTCTCCTTAGTATTCCAAGAAGAGCGTTATTAGCTTTTGCTGATCACAGTACAGCGGTGCAAGCTTTCATCTACCACGTCAGCGTAACCTTACCTTCCTTGATAGATTCAGGCTTGTTTTGCTTCTTTGTGTGAATCGAGGCTCATCGGCTCGCTGTCTACCCGTCGTTCGAGAGGCTCTCGACTCGGGATTTACTGAGAACTAGACCTCCCAAAGCACTTCTGTCCGCACAGAGATAAGAGGTAGCACATTGCTTCAACTGCCGGGCTGCAAAGGCGTAGAAGCTTCGGAGGGGGAAGACGACCCCAGAGCGTAGTAGTGTAGCGAGTTTACGGTAGAGGTGTTCCTTGGCCATCAAAACCTCCTAATAATGATCATGCACCCGCTTCGTGAACGATAATGAGGCAGAGACTCAAGTTACTCTACGAGGGACTAGCCAGTCATCAGTAAAGACGAACCTCAATAAGACAAGAGGCAACACGTGTTACTCGGATATGTCGATGCTTGCGTCAAGCCGCACCATTCCTGCACTTTGGCTTTCCTTCACCGAAAATGAAACGGGTGGCTGCCTGATATCACAGCCTTATTGATGTTGACTACACTGATGGTGGTATGGAACCCAAAATCGACACTCGTTGATTTTCGATTTTCCTGCCTTAATGTCGGCCCTGGCTGACAGAAGCGATGTGCAGGAAGGACACTTGCTGTCAAAATGGAATGCCACGCGAGGGCGGATTGCCATGTGGAGGCTCAGCCGCTGCCGAACGGAAAGTACATGGATCTGAAGAGTACCTGCCTGCTGTGTAATGGTGAAGATATCTTTCCTCTTGTCACGTACTGTATGTGTATGTGTGGGGGTAACCGGTGACAGCTACTAGTAGGCACACTTGCTACGCCACATAGCTGCGCATAGTAACTGCCTCGCGGGTGGTGGTTTGGGTGGTTTGCATTTCTGCCGTCGCTCTGCTTTCCGAATATGGTGCGAGGGCATGGACGATGTACTGCTAAACGGCTTCAAAGTATTAGGTCACAGATGGGAGTTGCCGTTGAGTGTACGATACGTGAGGAGCCAGTTTTTGACCTCGTTACTGGACATATGTGTCTGTAACGAACAAGTTGAGGCTTGTTGTCTAAGCCTCCTGATGTCTTTCTTCTGACGGCACCAGGAATCTATTTCCCGCTTCGCTTTGGCAGCAATGTGGGCACATCTCCTTGGCTTAGTGCCCTCACACTCCGATAACCGTTCAGAGAGCCTTGTCGACCATATCTCATCCACCACTTAGGGGAAACGGCTGCTAACAACCGACACAATGAAGCAAAAGTGTCCATAGGATGAAACGATCTGTGGCTTCAAGCATGTTCGGTGTGGACACTATCAGTTATCTTCCTCCAAGTCGTCTCTGGGTGTAGGTTGGTTCGACAAGGGTAGCCTTTCCGTTTCCTCGAAACCCTCCTTTGCGCAGGTCGTTGTCTGACAAAGATTGATTCCTATCCTGACTATGGCGCTTTGCCCTATGACGAGTTTCATACAACGCCGACGCCTCAGGCTCCGTAAGGCCAAGTTCAAAGATGGAATCTGGCAGTGCAATGCATACCCAAGTCAGCATCCGCTCGCCTCATCTATTTCAACGGTGAACGCGTAGTGACTGATACTCCCGCTTCACTTCAGAGAGGGCCTTGTAAAAGCCATGGCTGTTATCTGGATACTGGTGTAGAGGTATTCAGCCCATTTTCTACACAAAAATTCCCTGGACAAGCTTCACGTAGCTTTGTAGATCATGACTTCTTTATCTGCTTTCCTTTATCACCTCTTAAGTTAAGTTGCTCCGCTCGTTTCTTCACCTAACTCGAGTTATCTATCAAGATATCTCAGTATCGGCGTGTATTTGTCCACTCACAAAACGAAGACCTCAATCAAGATTCAACTTAAACTGCGTACGAGTTGGATATCATTCCACGCGAAACAAGCAGACATGGATTGCGCCGATCTCCAATATACTCCAGGCCCCGAAGCCTCTGGAGATTTGTGTCAGTATGATCTCACCTCAGTCAGCATGAGAAGGTCCGATAGCGGTGACTCAACCGCTACATATTCATCGGACAGTATCTCACCACCCAGCCCGTTGCAGGTGTTCAACATGACGGTCTCCGACATATTCGAGACGGCAAACTATGCTACACTGGCTGCCAAGTTTGCTTTGGGCAACCAGTACCGGGGTGAGACGTTCATGCCTTCTGTGATCACTTCAGAATCAGTCCGAGAGGCGATTCAGAGAGCCAAAAGTCGCCAAAGAGAGTACCCCGAGAGGGTGGGAGTGCAGGAAGTTCTCACCAAGCAGCTTCACCATGTGTTCAGCCGGCATGGCGTCAGTTTTCCTCCCGTTAGCGTGATACTTCAAGAGGCTGCCCATCAGCTCCTCCTTCACCTAAAGGGCTTCGATGTCCTTCAGCGATGCTGCCTCGCCATTGCCGTGGTACTTGAGACTGTTCAAGCAAAGCTGGAACAAGCGTCGAGTCGGTAGGTGCAGCACCCTGGTCCCTGATCTGATATCCCGGCGTTATGCAGCCACAACATGAAAGCCCTGACGACGAACTGACCTTGGCCGTCTGAAACAGCAGATCAGTCCCAGAGAGGAGGAGAAACACATGCTCCCATCCTGGCTGTGACAGAGCCTTCAGCCGGGCCGCCGACCTGAAGAGACACAGGCAAACCCACCTCTCTGACGATATGAAGAAGAAGTATCGGTGCGACTACAAGAAGTGCCTGCGGCACCAAGAGGCGTTTGTGCGGGATGATCACTTCCGCGACCACCTACGAAACTTCCACAAGGAGGACCTGACACGGCGCGGCAAGCAAGACGAGCAGGACTGGTGGCTGACACGGGCCAAGAGCGCGGTGACGAGCGGGTGGTGGCGCTGCAACAAGTGTCTGTTGACGAGAGTGAGGATCAAGCAGCACGGGTGGGTGTGCCCTACATGTTCAACGCATTGCGAGACACAGAGGAGGCGGTTTCGGCAGTCCACGATGAGTGCATAGTGTGCTTGGCCTTGATGAGGTTGAATGTGAGTGGATACGGGCCATGGAATGAATGTATCATGCCTTCCGGTTTGCTTTCATGTTTCAGCACGGAACCGGGGAACTTGTGGTGGATGGCTGTCACAGGAAAGGACCGGCATTGCGGTCTATGAAACTGCCTCTCTCCTTTTGGGCATTGGTGGCTTCCGACATTGCCTTCTCATTGTCCTGTTCGCGGGCCACGATGGAGGATGGGGACGGGGACGGACGGGGATGAGGACGAGGACGGCGGATGGCAGGTGGAGGTTGAGCCATCATTGCTTATCGACAAGCTTATCGATATGCCCTACGCAGTGTCTCAGTCCTCAAGGTACCTTGCCTCGCCACACCAGATCTGTCGGCAGGCAGCTGGCGCAAGGCGTATCGGAAGCGTGGCGCACCTTGATGGCACTACATGCTGCGAGTAGTCCCAAGTCTATGTTCATGCTTACAAGACAGCCACAAAGGCAGAGAACGAGGCAGACAGGGAGGCATCAAATCCGGCATATCTCGGAAGAAACTTTGTCGACGGAAGATGATGGCACGAAGACGACTTGACGGTTGCGGCCGTGAGCTTCGATTACACATCGACTATAATTAAAATGCTTGGCATTGCGTTGTGCTTTTAGCGCATACCCTGTCCGCAGCCTGGAGTAGCTTATCTCCGAAACTGGCGAAGGAGTCCCGAGTTGTCCGAAGCTCTCTCCGGCAGCCCGGCTGAACTACACTTTAGGGTCAAACGACGACGCCAACGTTTATAAGCAACTGAAGTTAATATCCCAGGCCCTGTGCATTGAGGTCTCCTGTCAACCGCAAGGCTCTACGTTGCCTACTCACCAGTGGCTGTTGGCGATGTCGGAATATGTTGTTTCGAACCTGACTCGGGTCCGCAGCTAGCTGTGGTTTTAGTGCCGGCGGTACGGTGAGCGTGTGGGTGTAGCCTACCGGCCTTGCGTGGTTTTTATCAGATCCATCATTCCGTTGAGCCAACAAGGGCCCGCACTGACGAGCGCTCCCCGTGTTACGCCATTCGCTAGCACATTTTGGAACCTGAGGCGTGAGGCCGTGAAGACCTGTTGTTGGTGATACATGAGAACACGAGGCCGGAACTACAGGACGTTGGCGTACCCCAAGGCTGGAGCCTGTTGATTCCTAGATACTTTGGTACTGTAGTGAGGTCTACCAGAGCCTGCCCTCGTCGTTGTCGTTGTCGTCGTCGGCCTTGGTCCCAGATGATCCGGAATCCGGAAGCCATACCCCTGTAACCATATGTCCGACCATGGCAGCGGTTTCAGCATGGGTTCAACAAGAGGTCTCCCGGTTAAATGGGGACCGAAGACGGTGTTCCTTGCAAGCTGAGTGGCCATTGGACCAATGGAAAGCCGTCTAAGGAAGCCCTGGGCTCCGGGAATCCGCCCCCGGGTCCGCTCTGCTACCGAAGGATCCTGCACTCTTCCCGGCCGAAGGCGGTGCGATCGGCCCACCAAGATTGCGATAGGATAAAAGGCGAATGGAAAACGGTGTCGAGGGTGTCGTGGTGTCGTGGGCGTTGGCGTTGGCGAAAGTGGTGAAACTCGAAGCGGTGGCGGCGGCATGGATCGTGGATAGCACCGGCCTTGAGCAAAGTCGCGAATTGCGATGGCAACCACACGCCACACAGAATAGAGAATGGTGACGGCACTGCTGTTTCAAGTTTCACGCGGTTTCACGGTCGAAGGGGATCAATGATTGCGATGGTTCGTCCCTGGACATTTCCTCACACCTTGCAGCCATCTGCAACCATTTAACCATTTCGGGTGCAGAAATGTGGGGGTTACAATAGCACACTGCTGCATAACCCGTATACGAACCGCTGTGCGTTGAAAACGCAGTATCAGTCCCCACTTTTGAATTAAGCCGCCAAATATACACATATGCATGAATATTGATATGCTAGACCTTCAAGATTTATAACTCTATCGTTTTATACTTGATTTGTACTCAAATTTAACGATTTTAACTAGATTTCGAAGGCCAAAAGATTTAAGATGGCTGTAGCGATAAGGCACTATACAAATGACTAACAGCGCTAAACGATATACGTAATGCTGGTTATTAGCGAATATCTTCATAAAATTGCGTATATTATTGGTATTAGTAAGCGATAGGTTTAGAGATTGAAAAAGAATTACAATACGATTAGGCAATTATATCCCCAACCTCGTTCAGTATTTAACGCAATTATATTAGCGCCCTGAGTTATAGAGGTTAATATATATATTATAATTAATTGCGTATAATAATTTCGAATTATATCTAATTTACTATTGTATAAGAAATATTCGAATTCCTTCGATATAAACCCGATCTATACTTCAATAAGATATAGTACTTCTTAATTAACGAATTAAATATATACGTATTGTAGTCCGCTATATTAAAGTAATTAAAATCTTCTAATTAAAATAATAAGAGGATAGCTTATAAAGCTTTTTAATATAACGAATTATTACAGTTAAATTAGTTGAAGAAGGTTTCTAAATTCTTTCTAGAGATATACGTTTTTTATAATAAGTTTGGTATTAATAAGAGGGATGGCGTTCGTTATATAGGATAGGCGCTAAAGGGTATATTTCTATAGTTAAAGAGCATATTAATTAGGGGTAAACGGTTCTATCTACTACCAGTATTAATTATAAATAGCCTTATTAATATAATATACTATAAGGGAGCAATAAATACAAACAGCTTCGTTATATAGCTAAAGGAGGAGGTACTCCCTAAAATAAACCAGTTCCCCGCTCAATATAGTACTTTAATAATAGATAATATATTATAATATAAATACCCTTCTATTAAAAACGCATACAATAATAGAAATATATTATTTTAGTTCTTATTACTATACTCTTTAAATTTTAACCTTATTGAGGTATATTTTAATAACGTAAAGGTATATATAAAGCGGTAATACTAGTAGGCTAGTAGTTACTGATTAAAAGAAGGCGGATTTAAAAGTTTCTTCGAGGGGGTAGCGCGGGTAGTAGGGTAGGAAGTTTATACTATATAAGGGTATTACTACTAAACGTACGTACCCTTTAATAAATTTAATATGGCTAGCGAACTAAAGGACTACATCATATTATATAGGGATTAATCATACGAATTGAAGTTAATAAGGACAGTAGTATAAAATATTAAATTATATAGTAAATATACCGAATTGAGTATGGCTAAAATCGAGGGTAATTGAATGCTTAATCGAGTGATGCAAAACGAAAAAGTAAGAAAATGGCGCAAATATGTAATAATAGTAATAATAGCAATAAAGACTCCTAAATTATTAGAAATACTATAAATTCTTCAAAATTAGTATAATTTATTAATATAGTATTTATTTATATAATAATTCTTTATATATATAATCCCCTTCTTTAATTTGTATATATAATCTCCTTCTTTAATTCGTATATATAATCCTCCTCTTTAATTCGTATATTTATTAAATTTTATTATTATTATCACTAGTATTCAGTTTGCTAACGGTCGCATTAAGGTTTTTATCAATACGCGGACCGTCGTTTAAGTTATTCTCTTTATTGTAAATAAAGCTATTATAGATGCGGTCGTTATTATCGAAATTTGGGAGGGGCGCGGTAATTTTAGATATTTTACTATAACGAATTTAGGAGGAGGGTATTTATATTATACAGTAATTAGCAATATATATAATTATTAAAATATAAATATTTACTTTGTAACTATAATAGCGCACTAAGGTTAACGGTTTACAGTAGGGGTATTAGAGCTCCCCGGAGCGGTAATAACGACGACCATTATATATAATCTCGCTCGAAATAGAAGTATTACTTAATCGCCTTTTTAATTACAATATAAATACCTTCGTCGATTCTATAATTAAAATATTACTTTATAAGGAAATTACATATTTAATAGAGGGATAGCTACCTAGCTATAAAGGATTTTTAGATATTATAGAACGCGTTCTTTAATATATTATTTTTATTAGATTTAAGGGCTTATTTAAAAATAAATTACTTTAGAAAATTGGCAACGAAGCAATTAAACGGTCGGTTTAGTAATAAAAAAAGTAGAGAGGAGGAAGGTTAAAGATCGCCGTTACTAATACGAGAAGTACTAGCGCGAAAGGTATTAACGCTAAAAGTACTAACGCTAAGGAAAGTAAGCAAAATAAATAAAACAGGCTTAGCCGCTAATCTTATACCTATTATCCCTATACTTATACCTCTATAATCATTAAAGAGAGGTATTAGAAGTAAAGTAAGTAATGTTCCAACTTTATTATTATTACTATTAATTCTATACGCGTTACCGTTAATTTAATAATTATTTTGAAGGTTAAAATTGAAGATTTGAAGTAGCAGTAAATAGCCTCTTCTACTACTATTATATTTCGTACCCGGGATAGTATATAATATAAATAGTTGAAATTACTAGTAATTAGACTGCCTAAATATTAGCGCGCCGATTTGACAAATTAATTATTATTGAGAATTAAATTATTACGAAGTTATATCAGCAGGAGGTTAATTAATAGTAGCTCATTTACTAGTAATAGCGCTAATTTAATTAATAAGATTTTTTACTATCAAGGGGAAATAGTATTTCTAATTAGGTATAATATATTATTATTGGTCTTATACACGCTAACTAACTATATAGTCCACCCAGTGGGTATACAGTACTACTTCCGTTCTTAATTAGTAGGAAAAACCGTACCGCAGCCGGCTGAAAACCCTCCGCTACTCTATCGCGACGGCGCCATATCAGCTCCGTACCTTCGCTATTTATCTTCCACTCGGTATAACCTCACTGTTATTCTCGAAGCGTAATCTTTAATTCTGGTATATAGTCCCTCCGGCCTTACCCCCATCCTATTTTCCCTTCGTTCCTTCCCCTAGAATTAATTAATTACTAATTGTATTATTATTCTTCTACTTCTTTTCACCCTGCCCTTTTATCCTATCTTTTATAATAAATATATTATAGCGACCTATTTTCCAATCGATAAAATAATCTCTCCCTTGCTCCTTCCCTTCCTTCCTCTTCTTCCCTCTTATACTCCCCATCCCACCT